TGCTGGTTGTTTTCACTCAAGTGAGGTGTTATAAAAGAGCAAGCCTGACTCCTTCCCTGCTCTCTAGCTTCCCACTTCACCATGATCTCTATTGCATGTATTTTGCCATTGTGATGCTGTCTGACATGAGGTCTTCACCAGAGCTGAGTTGATACTGGCACTAGGCCCTTGAACTTAACACGTGAAGAAAATAACTTGTGTGTGTGTTTGTGGTGGCGTTCAAACCCAAGGCCTTGCACATGTGAGGCAAGCTCTCTATCATTGACCTATACTACCAACCCTAAACCACTTTGTTTTTCCTTTTGGTACTGGGAATTGTATCCAGAGATGATTTGCCATTGAGCTTCATCCCCAACTCTTTTTATTTCTTTTAATTTTGAGACACTAAGTTGTTTAGAGCTTTGCTAAGTTGTTGAGACTGGCCTCAAACTTGTGATCTTTCTGCCTTGGCCTCCCAAGTCACTGGGATTATAGGCATGCACCACTGTGCCTGGCTAAAATGCTTTTCTTTATACAGTACCTAGCCTCAGGTATAGCTACAGAAAATTGATTAACATGTTTCTCTCTCTCTCTCTCTCTCTCTCTCTCTCTCTCTCTCTCTCTCTCTCTCTCCCTTATTCTTCTCTTCATTCTCCTTTCTCTTCCCCTCCCTCCCTCTTCTCCTTCTCCTGTTCTTCCTTTTTCTCCTCCTTCTTTTTCTTCTTCTCCCCACCATTTCTTCTTCAGCTGTGGATTGAATCTAGGGCCTTATTCTATTCTTAATGTTTTTATCATTCCTCTCCTTAGAGGTAATTACCTGGGTTTCTACGGCCTCTGTTTCAAGAGCTCTGGAGAATGAAAACTTCTTTCCTTGAGATAGCACCTAAGATTTTCTCAGCCTCTTAATTTGTTAAGCAAGTCATTTCCATCTATAATCTCCAAGCTTAGTTACACATTGACAATTTATTATTTTATTATTTACATGTTTACATTCAAAGTTTATATTAATTCAACCTATACTATCTAAAGTAGAGGTTGGCAGAGTCTGTTAGCCAAATTGGGCTTGCTTTTGTACACTCATGGATGTTACTTTTTTTTTTTGACGGTGCTAGGTGTTGAACCCAGGGTCTTGAGCATGTGAGGCAAATACTCTACCAACTGAGCTATATCCCCAGCACCCTGGATGTTACATTTTTAAAGATTGTTAAAGAAAAACAGAAGGGAGAGTAGAGGGAGGGGAAGAGGAGCGAGGAGGAGGTGGGAAGGGAAAGGGGAGGTACAGAGAACAAAATTGACCAAGTTATATTGTGTGCATGCACAAATATGCAACAATGTGTTCTATTACTATATATAATTTAATGCATCAATATAAAAAATTACAAAAGATTGTTAAAGAAAAATAAAGAAGAATGTGTGATAGAGAATGTGTGTGGATTGAAAAGCCTAAAATGTTCACTACTTGACCCTTGATAAGTTTGCTGACTGTTGATCTGGAGTCTTATTATGTTAATTTGTATGTATGTGAATATATTTAAATCTATGTGAATGTGGGAATAATAATTTTTATTTATTTATGTATTTGCAGTGCTGGGGCTTTAACTCAGGGCCTTGTTCATGCTAGGCAAGTGCTGTATCATTGAGCCTATCCCTAGTCCAAAAAAAAAATTGTGTTGAATAGTTATTAGGCTCCTGAATATATTCTAGAATGATTATAATCAATGTCTCTGAGTGATCTACTACAATTTTTGTCATGATTTTAAATAAAAAATATTTTAAAAGGTACACAGTCACATTTGAGATTTTGAAAATAAGATTAATGTTTGCAATGGTTGATTGTCCTCTAAATCTATTTGCTGTTGTCTAGTAATCAAAATCTAGGTTCTGTTTCTGACAGTTGCTGGTTCATTGGGCTGCAAAACAAAACAAAACAAAACAATGGTTCAAAAAGACATTTAAAACTTTGGAAAGAAAGCATCTGAAAAGTGTGAAGACATTTCAGAATCACATGTAAACTAAGTGCATGTGATGAGGTATATTATAATGAGGTATATTGTAATGAGGTATATTACATAAAAGGAGTGGAGAGTAGTGAAGATACTGTATTTCGTTATTTTTGGTAAAGGTTTCAAAACATGTTTTCCTAAACTTTATATATGCATATTCTATTATATACCTATACTTCTTTTTATATTTTCAATTAGTTCTTTTTAGTTATATATAACATTAGGATTTGTTTTGACATAACTATAAAAGCATAGAATATAATTTGCTCTAACTCAGACTTACTTTCTCTTTCCCTTCTCTGCTCCCTCTCCAATTACCTTCCCTATACTCTACTGATATTTTAAAAAATATTTATTTTTTAGTTTTAGGTAGACACAATATCTTTATTTTACTTTTGAATGGTGCTGAGGATCAATCTCAGTGCCTCATGCATGCTAGGTGAATGCTCTACCACCTGAGCCACAACTCCAGCCCTATAAATTTTTTTTTTCTAAATTAGTGCCTTGTGGATATACATAAAGGTGAGATTTGCTGTGGTATATTCTTATATGTACATAGGAATGTTAAGTCAGGTTCATTCCACTGTTCTCTTATCCAGCACCCCGAGCATCTGAATACTCTTTTTCTATTATACTGATTTCTCTTCTATTTTGATGAAATCCCCTCCACCACTCCTCCCCCTCTTATTTTGGAGTAACTTCAGTATATCAGAGAAAACATTTGATCTTTGACTTAGTGTGTCTGGATGATTTCACTTAGCATGATGGTCTCCAGTTTTATCCATTTCTCCTCATTTTCTGCTTTTCATAGTAGTGGCACTAATTTGCAGTCTCATCAACAATGTATGACTGTACCTTTTCTCTCTCATCCCTACCAACATCTATTATTATTTGTATTCTTTTTTTTATGCTGAGAATTTAACTCAGGGGTACTGTACCACTGAGCTACATGTCTAGTCCTTTTTATTTTTTATTTTCAGACAAGGTCTCACTATTTTGCTTAGGGTCTTACTAAATTGCTGTGGCTGGCCTGGAACTTGTTATCCTCTTGTCTCAGCCCCCCAAGCTGCTGGGATTATGGGCGTGCACCACTGTACCCAGATTATTTGTATTCTTGATAATTGCCATTCTGATTGGAATAAGATAAAATCTCAGTGTAGTTCTGATTTGCATTTCTTAGATTTGCTGGAGAAATTGGAACTTTTTTCATATATTTATTAGCCATTTGTATTTCTTCTTTTGAGAAGTGTCTGTTTAGTTCTTTTGCCCATTTATTAATGCATTATTATTTTTTGGTGTTTTTTAACTTCTTTTTTATTCAGGATATTAATGCACTATCTGAGAAACAGGTAACAAAGATCTTTTCCCATTCTGTAGGCTCTCTCTTCACACTCTTACTTGTTTCCTTTGTAGAAGCTTTTTTAATTTGATGCCATCCCTCTTACTGATTTTTAGCTTTACTTCTTATACATTAGGAGTCTTGTTAAGAAAGTTGAAGCCTGTGCCAATATGTTGGGATGTTGGGCCTATATTTTCTCCTAACAGTTGCAGAATTTCTGGTCTAATTCTTAGGTTTTTGATCCACTTTGAATTGATGTGTGCAGGGTGAGAGATAAGGGACAAGTTTCCAGCACCATTTGTTGAAAAGGCTCTTTTTTTCAACATAAGTTTTGGGCACCTTTGTCAAGTATCAGAGGTCTGCATCTATGTGGATTTGTCTCTGTGTCTTCTATTCCATCAGTCTTCATGACTGTTTTAGTAGCAGTACCATGCTGTTTTCATTACTACAGCTCTGTAATATAATTTGAGGTTCAGTATTGTGATGCCTTCAGCATTGCTCCTCTTGCTCAGGATTGCTGTGGCTATTCTGGACCTTTTATGTTTCCAAGTGAATTTTAGAACATTTTCTAGTTCTGTGAAGAATGTCATTGGTATTTTGATGAGGATTGCATTAAATCTGTATAGCACTTTTGGTAATATGGCCATTTGATAATATTAGTTTTGCCTATTCAAGAACATAGGAGGCCTTTTTATCTTCTAAGTTCTTCAATTTCTTTCTTCAGAGTTCCCTAGTTTCCATTGTAAAGGTCCTTCACTGCTTTGTTGTATCAAATCCCAAAGATTTTATTTTATTTTTTGATGTTATTATGAATATGATAGTTTGCCTAATTTATTTCTTATCAGATTCATTATTGGAGTTTAGAAAAGTGATTGATTTATCTATGTTTCTCGTATATTCTGCTACTTAACTAACTTTATCAGCTCTGTAAATCTTCTGGTAGATTTTTTGGGGTCTTCTAAATGAAAGATCATGTCATTAGCAAAACAGATTATTTAACTTCTTTTTTAATTTGTATCTTTTTAAATTTCCTTCTTTTGCCTGATTGTTCTGGCTAGATTTTCAAGGACTATATTGAATAGAGCGTGTATGTGTGTGTGTGTGTGTGTGTGTGTGTGTGTATATATATATATATATATATATATATATATATATATATATATACTCTTTTTTTTTTAAAACCAGGAAGTGAACCCATAGGCACTTAACCTCTCAGCCACATCCCTAGCCCATTTAATTTTTTTTTTTTTGAGACAGGATCTTGCTAAATTGCTTGGGCCTTGCTAAATTGCTGAGGCTGGCTTTGAACTCACAATCCTTCAGCCTCAGCCTCCTGAGCCACTGGGATTACAGGCATGTGCCACTGTGCCTGGCTACCTATACTTCTTATTACATATTTAGACAGATCACTTAGCCTAAATATTTCTTACATTTGAAGGATATAAAAACTACTTAATATCATGTTAATAGCTATTATTTTACTGACAAATACTTCAAATAGTTGATTATGGCTTTTCATGTTTATACGAATCTACTTTATCTATTCTCTATTTTTTTATGGACTATTGCAAATTAAGAATCAATTGTGTTTGTTGAAATTAAAGTCCTATTATGTGGGAAAGTTGTTACAATTTGGAAGTCCCTTAAGAAGTCTGATTCATCTTTACCTCTTCCTTCAGCTTGCAGCTGTTTGTGATGTATTTGTGGAAAACTATGTCCCTGGAAAACTGTCCACAATGGGCCTGGGGTATGAAGATATAGACAAGATTGCTCCTCACATCATCTATTGCTCCATCACAGGTAGTTCAATCCCATACCCTTGCTAGGGAGTAAGTTTTTCAATTTTTTCATTTTCTTGCTTCTATAAGAAACTTCTTGCAGGTATTGGTTTTCTTAAGCGATTCTGCTTTCCCTCTCCCTAAGCCATTTAGACTATTAAACATTAAGGAAATATTAACTTAAATGAACATTTTCATATATTTATCTACTGTTTGTATTTCTTTTTTTTAATATTTATTTTTTAGTTATTGGCGGACACAACATCTTTGTTTGTATGTGGTGCTGAGGATGGAACCTGGGCCACATGCATGCCAGGCAAGTGCGCTACCGCTTGAGCCACATCCCTAGCCCTGTTTGTATTTCTTCTTTGAATTGTCTGCCTATGGATTTGCTATTTTTCTATATTGATGTTTTATAAATGTTTACAAAGTACTGTTATCAACTAATACAGATGAATTATAGGTGAAATATTGATTGATTTTAATATAACATAGAAACTGAATGTATCCCTATAATGTATCAGGAAGTACCAACCAAGGTAAGGAGAAGAGTATTATAAAGTCTTTTGATTGTTAAGGCCTTTCCAGTGAACCTTGTGTGTGTGTGTGTATGTGTGCAGATTATAAGGAAAAAAGTCACAGTATTACTTAGTTTTTCATATTTTAAGTGGCTCTTAAAATAGAAACTTGTTAATAGTTTTGTCATAAAAATTTATGATATTTTTTAGTTTTTATTTATTAATCTATCAGATATTTATTGTAGGCTTATGATCTGGGCAGTATTCTATAGTTCTGGTTGCAAGAATAAAGAAACCACACATGTGCTCTCTAGAAGATTTATATTCTAGGAGAGGGAAATATATATGTAATATATATTTATTTAATTCAGTTTAACACAGATAAGGGCTACGGGACAAGAGGGATGGGGCAAAGAGGAGATGTTTTATACTGGGAATAGAGAGAAGGCTTCATTGAGGAGCTGACATTTGAGCAGAGACTTGAATAAAGTAAAAGAGTGTACCATTTAAATATTTGAAAGACGGAACTGACTACGTTTGAGGACCAGCTATGTCAGTATGGTTGAATCAGAATGAGTAAGGGGGAATGTCATAAGAAGAAAACCAGGGATATATTCATTAGCAAGATCATAAAAACAAAACAAAACAAAACAAAACTCATGGGCTACTTTTAAGGAATTTGGCCTTTACCCTGAGTTACATTGTAAGCTAAAAGAGGGTTGAGCAGAAGAATGATATGATCTGACATATTTTAAAAAGGATATCTCTAGCTACTGTATTGAGAATGGATGTAGAGAACAAAGGCAGAAGCAGAAGCACAGTTATGAAGCTGTTGGAAAGTACCAGGCTAGAGATGACAATGGCTTGAATTAGAGTGGTAGTGGTGCAGGCAGTTGCAGAGTGATAGGATTCTGAATGTTTTCAGGTTAAAATGGATAGGATTTGCAAATGGATTATAGGTGAGTATCAGAGGAAGAGTAGGGTTAAGGATGATGTTAAGATTTTTCCCTGAGCAATTAGAAGAACAAAATTACTATTTACTAAGATGAACAAACAGGAAAAAAAATTTGTGGGGAAAATGTCAAGAGTCAGGTTTTGGATTTATCTTTGAGATGTCTGTTAGATAGTCAAGTGGGGAAGTGAAGCAAAGGATTGGAACTAAGAGTCAAGAGTTCAGAGAAGATGGAATATTTGGTAGTTGTGAGCAAATGTGATCTCTGGGTGCAATCTTTTGAGAGTGAATGCAGAAGAAAAAGGACAGTACCTGAAGTTGAGGTCAATTCACTCCAGTGACTAGAAGTGTAGATGATAACTAGGACATGGTAGAGAAGGTTGAAAAGGAATTTTTCCCCAACATATGCTCAAGAGATTTTATATTTCTCATTAAAAATTAGAAATGGTTTTAACCATGTGGCTTTGGTTTATATCTTCCATGTTCTTTTTTTATTTGTTCTTTTAGTTATACATGACAGTAGAATGTATTTTGGCAGAATATACATACATAGAGTATAACTTATTCTATTTAGGATCCCACTTTTGTGGTTGTACATGAGGTGGAGTTACTCTGGTTGTGAACACAAATTCAAGGCTCGGAAAATTATGACCCATTAATTCTACTGTATTTCCTATTCCCCTATTCCTCCCTTCCTTTCATTTCCCTTTGTCTAATCCAGTGGATTTCTATTATTCCCCTCCCCTACTTCCCTTGTTTTGGGTTTGCATTCACAAATCAGAGAGAACGTTTGGCCTCTGTTTTTTGGGGCTTGGCTTATTTCACTTAGCATGTTATTCTCCAATTCCATCCATTTACAGGCAAATACCATAATTTCATTCTTCTTTATGGTGAGTAACATTCCAGTGTGTATGTATGTCACATTTTCTTTATCCATTCATCCTTTGAAGGACACCTAGCTTGGGTATTGTGAGTTGAGCTTCTGTAAACATGGATGTGGCTGTGTCACTGTTATATGCTGTTTTAAAGTCCTTTGGGTATAGACCAAGAAGTGGGATAATTGGGTCTAATGGTGGTTCCATTCCAAGTTTTGTAAGGAATATTCATACTGACTTCCATAGTGGTTGCACCAATTTGCAGTACCACCAACAATGTATGAGAGTACATTTCTCCCCATATCTTTGCCAACATTTATTGTTACTTGTATTCTTTATAATTGCCATTTTGACTAGAGTGAGATGGAATCTCAGTGTACACTGTTTTAATTTGCATTTCTCCAATTGCTTAAGATGTTGAGCATTTTTAATATATTTATTGGGCATTTGTATTTCTTCTTCTATAAAGTACTTCTCAGTTCCTTAGCCTGTTTATTGATTGGATTCTTCTTCTTCTTTTTTTTTTTGGTGTTCTGTTTTTTGAGTTCTTTGTATATCCCGGAAATTATGCCGTATCTGAGGTACTGGTGGTGAAGATTTTCTCCCAGTCTGTAGGATCTCTGTACATGTTATCAATTGTTTCCTTTGCTGTGAAGAAGCTTTTTAGTTTGATACCATCCCATTTATTGATTCTTGATTTTACTTCTTGTGCTTTAGGAGTCTTATTGAGGAATTAGGTTCCTAAGTCTACATGATGGAGTGTTGGGCCTATATTTTTCTTCTAGTAGGCACAGGGTCTCTGGTCTAATGCCTGGGTCCTTAATCCAGTTTGAACTGAGTTTTGTGTTGGGTGAAAGATAAGGGTTCAATTTCATTTTACTATGTCTGGATTTCCATTTTTCCCAGCACCATTTGTTGAAGAGGCTATCTTCTCTCCAATGTATGTTTGTTGTGCTTTTGTCTAGTATGAGATAACTGTATTTAGGTGGGTTTGTCTCTGTGTGTTCCATTCTGTTCTGTTGGTCTTCATGCCTGTTTTTGTGCCAATACCATGCTGTTTTTGTTATTATAGCCCTGTAGTATAATATAAGTTCTGGTATTGTGGTGCCTCCTGCATCATTTTTTGGCTAAGCATGCTATTCTGAGCCTGTTATTTTTCCAAAAGAATTTCATGATTGCTTTTTCTATTCCTGTGAAGAACATCATTGGAATCTTTATAGGAATTGCCTTAAATCTGCATAGCACTTTTGACAGTATGGCCATTTTGATAACATTGATTCTGCCTATCCAGGAACATGGGGAGATATTTCCATTATCTGAAGTCTTCTTCAGTTTCTTTCTTTAGTGTTCTGTAGTTTTCATTATAGAGGTCTTACACCTCTTTTGTTAGGTTGATTCACAAATATATTATATGTTTGAGGCTATTATAAAGGGGATAGTTTTCCTGATTTCTCTTTCAGCTGATATATCCTTGGTGTATAGAAATACAATTGACTTATTGGTTTTGATTTTAAACCCTGCTACTTTGATGAGTTCATTTACAAGTTCTATGATCTTTCTTGTAGAGTTTTTTTTGGGTGTTCTAAATATAGAATCATGTCCTTGGCAAGTAGGAGTATTTTGAGTTCTTCTTTTCCCATTCATATCCCTTTGGTTTCTTTCTTTTTTTCTGATTGCTCTGACTAGAGTTTCCAGGACTATGTTGAATCACAGGGTGATGGTGGTGGTGGAGACATGAATTCCCTCTTATTCCAGTTTTTAGAGGGAATGATTTCAAATTTTCTGCATTTAGAATGATGTTGGTCTTGGGTTTAGCATATACAGCTTTTACAATGTTGAGTTATGTTTCTACTATGCCAAGTTTTTCTAGTGTTTTGAGCATGAATGGATTCTCAATTTTTTTGAATGTTTTTCTGCATCTCTTGAGATAATCATGTGATTCTTGTCTTTAAGTTTATTGATGTGTCAACTGTGTTTATTGATTTCCATATATTGAACTAAACTTGATCCCTGGGATGAACCTCACTTGATCATGGTACACTATCTTTTAAATATGTTTTTATATGCAATTTGCCAGTATTTTATTGATAATTTTTACATCAGTGTTTATCAGGGACATTGTCTGAAATTTTGTTTCCTTTGAGTCTTTGTCTGGCTTTGGTATCAGGGTGATACCAGCTTCATAAAATGAGTTCAGAAGTGTTCTTTCCTTGAAAAGGAATTGTTAAAGGCATAGGAAGAGAACCTCCTAGAAGTCAAGTACATAAACAGTTTTATTTTCATAGCCAGTTTAAGCTTAACAGTATAGAAAGTTTGAGCAGAAAGACATAAAGCATAATGTATTCATTGACCTGAATTACTTGTATTTCCTAAATTTTCTATGCTCTTTCTCACTTCTGAGGTTGTTGACCATGATGTTCCCATTGTTTGGAACACTGTTCTTCTGCTATAACCTGTTCACTCTCCCCTTTTCCTTTAGATCTCAGCTTGGATATCATTACTTTTGTTCAGATTTTCTTCGTCTCTAAAGATTGGGTTGAGTATTCTTGTACATGTTTGTGTTTGCCTCTTTACTTGCCTTTCTCTCCCTCTTTCCCTGCAGGTTCTTGTTCTGTTCCCACATGGTAGGGGCTCAACAACTGTTTCTTGAATCAATGAATGAGTAATCAAAACTTGA